ATGTACATCCACTCTCTTCCTTTCTTCGATTATTTCGTTGCTGAAGCCAGCAAGGTAATTTCGGATTTATTCACCGTAATTATCGAAAGCAATCTTGAAATCTAACTTTATTTGCGATATAACTTCATCCACATATTGTTTGTTTGCAACATCAGAGGCATCTGTTGGCAGTTTTACGTTACACATCTTCAAATGACCAACATCAATATCACCGGTTGGAGTATGTGAAAATCCAGATCTGACTGTCACCATCTGAGCTGAGCGTGGAAACGAACCACGTCCGAATTTGTCGAGGCTCATTATGCTAATGACTAAAGTATTGTACGTTATCGATAATGGTCGGCACTTTGCCTCGCCAATTAGCCCCGTCACTCATAGACATGCCATGGACGTGTCACGGAACTGTCAAGGAAGTGTCACGGAACTGTCAAGGAAGTGTCACGGAACTGTCACGGAAGTGTCAAGGAAGTGTCACGGAACTGTCACGGAAGTGTCAAGGAAGTGTCACGGAACTGTCACGGAAGTGTCAAGGAAGTGTCACGGAAGTATCACGGAACACGGAAATGTCACTGAATCGTCACACATGTTTTATTATGCCTGCCTCTTCTAATTCGTTCAAGATGGCAACAATCTCGTTATCGTTTGATGTATTTCCGGCTTGCTGTGATGCAATGAGCAATTTCAATCTATCTACCAATTCGTTTGGATCATCCCAATACATGTATTCGATAGGTGCTGTGTTGTATGTCAACTTCAAACCACGACCACTGGAATTGGATCTGAACATTGGACGAATAATTTCTACGTATTTGAGTCTAGAGGAGGACTTCATACGTCCTGCAGAATTCAGATGAGCTTTGGTGAGCAAGAGTATTTGCTTGTATGGGTTCGTATCATCTTTGGCAAAGGATGGATCATTATAGAAGAGTAATTGATAGAGGCCTGGGGTGCCACGGAACCGAAAGCCATCGAGAAGTATATCTCCAGTTCTTCGATGGAAATTCATTTCTTTTCCGTTGAGGGACCATTTCGATGTTACTGGATCATATTTGGGACCATAAACCGTATCGATATTTTCATCATTTGTCCAGTATTCAGTCAGATATTTTTGAGCCATCGCAGGATACTGATCAACGTAATCATGTATTGCAGCCGGTGAGATATTTTCACTATCTACAAAAAGTTCATCATCAGCATCGTCATAACCATCCTCATCATCATCTTCAGTATGCCCAGCATTATCAGCCACATCCATCATAGGTATGAAATTAGTTTGATTCAAATCCGATTGCTCCCTCTCAACGTCCCCATCCTCTTCCTCCTTCTTCTTCTCCTTCTTCTTCTCCTTCTTCAACTCCAACGACTTTGCTCTGCTTCGCTTGATGTTTGAAAGTGTTCCATCGAGTTTTTCTTCTATGACCTTGGACGCGGAGGCAATTTGTTTCAAAGGTGATGTCAGTGGTTGGAATATTTTCTGTAACGCATCATCATCCTCAGACTTGCCCAATTTTAGTGCTAAATATTTTCTTCTGATTGATTTCGATAGTTCGTTGATTTTTTTCTTGCGCAGCGCATCAGCAACATCATCATGCATCTTGGTTGACGTCATCTTGATGAATGGTCCAGAGATCACAGTCTTATGAACTTATCGAAACCATTTCTATATCTGCCAGCATTCATATCGAAAGTTTTTGCAATCACCATCGCACCATATTGGTTGGAATTCCAACACTCTGAGCACAATGCTTTAAATTGATCGAATGACATGTCTGGTGAGACATGCTCGTCGAACACATGCTTCAAATTCATTTCATCCTGTCGAAATAACACCAACAGGTTACTGTTGTCTCGCACCAGCTGCTTCGGTATCTTAGAAAAAGTCTGGCATAGGTATGCTACGTCAATATCCTTGTGTCTACACATTGAAAAATATTCTCGAATTTTTTGCTGCTTGTCGCATGATACATCATCAAAAATGAATATCGAATTATTTTTCGCTTCTGATGGACTGATGACATCATCATTTTCTTTAAAGGGAAAATACCCAACACCTTTCACTGAATCCAACACTTGTTGCAGCAATTGATATTTCGGTTGGTACAACGACTTTGAATACACGTAAACGTTCTTGAATTTCGCGCCATTTGGATTGAACAGCAGGGAAAGCATCGCATTGGTCTTTCCACATCCGCTTGGTCCGCAGAAGATTGCTCTGAACGAATGGGGAAGCAGTTTCCCATGTTTACTATTTACTGGGGGTTTGGTTGACAAAATTCCATCCAAATTCACAATGGGTAACATCCGTTCTTGTTGAATGATCTTCATCATGTGATGATATATTTTTCATTTCATTAGGTATATGCAGAGTTGTCGAACTTCCTACACATCAGTCTTCATGTTGCTCTACCACGGAGAGGGTGTGCTTAATTCTCTGATCGATAAACTTCCCATCGAATTACACATTCCAGGCTACAGATTTTGTGGTCCAGGTACCAAACTCGATAAAAGACTTGCAAGAGGAGACACCGGTATCAATCCGTTGGACGACGCGTGTCGAGTACACGATATCGCCTATTCACAAAATTCCTCAATAGAAGACAGGCACAAAGCTGATTGGATATTGGAAAATAGAGCGTGGGAGAGAGTCAAGTCGAAGAACGCTAAATTCAAAGAGAAGGCTGCTGCTTGGCTTGTCACCACCGGAATGAAGGTCAAACGAAAACTTGGCATGGGTCTTGTATCACAGCAATCCCTATCCAACATTATCAAATTCATAAAAAATGTACTATCAAAGTCAGATGGTGGTGGTAGTACAACATCAGGAAGTGGTCTGAATAAATCTGCATTGAAAGCACTCCATGCAGCCAGAATGGCAATCAAGAGGGCTGGCGGTAAAAAAAGAATCAGAGTACCAAGAATCATACCTCTTCCACACAGTGGCGGCATACTACCATTGATACCAATCTTTGCCGCCTTGGGAGCCCTAGGATCTCTAGCTGGAGGAGCCGGAGCAGTCGCAAAGACAGTCATTGATGCGAAAAATGCAAAGAAAAAGCTCGAAGAAGATCAAAGGCATAATAAAGCAATGGAGGCTATCGGCAAGCAGGGTTCCGGCCTATTTCTACGCAAAACATCGAGAGGATTCGGACTGTACTTGAAGAAACAATCAAAAAACTCAAAAAACTTCTAGACAAGCTACCCAATAAATCAATGTACGATAAAGATGTGATAAAGTATGCCAAACAGCTGAAAATACCGTATTTTCGAGGTGTTTTTATGCGGGACACTCTACCTTCCACCGGTCCATGGCATCGCGAGTGTGCTGTATTGAATTTGGATACCTCCAATCATGCGGGCACTCATTGGGTGGCTTACATAAAAAATGATAAAAAAGCCTTATATTTCGATAGTTATGGCAATCTGAAACCGCCCAGAGAATTGGCGCAATATTTGGGTGCCAGCACGAAAATCTTGTACAATAACAATCAATACCAGAATTTCAATCAAAGTAATTGTGGACGTCTATGTTTAGAATTCCTTTTTAATGAGATCAAGTAACTCGGTCATTGTGCATCAGTCATGTCTCTGATTGTGACGTTGAAAGGTCGTACATCTACGCTCTCCATAGACTTTTTGACACCACTTCAACTCGATCCAGACTCTGATTACGGACTAGCATTGTTGGGATTCCATTCATACAACAGTATACCAAATATCGACAAAGAATCAAAGTTTTATCTGCAAGATAAGACCAAGGCGGGAAAGATCATCGATATTCCCGAAGGTTCATACGACATTGTGGACATTGAGACATTCATACGCAAAGAATTGGGCATCTCAAGTGCAAAGGACGTTGATGATATATTCTCGTTGAAGCCCAACAATAAAACACTAAAGTGTGAGATTTCGAGCAAACAGTTTGCCATTGATTTTCGCCCGAAGGATAGCATAGCTCAAGTCTTGGGATTTTCAAATAGATTGTTGAACGCACAACAAGTCCACACTTCCGATTTGCCGGTCAGCATAACCAAAGTGAGAACCATTCACATTGATAGCAACGTTACTGCTGGAGCTCTCTACAACGACAGACCATCACATACGATCTACGAGTTTGCAGTTGCAGTCGATCCTGGTTACGCCATAGACGAGACTCCCAGAAATCTAATCTATCTACCTATAGTCAGCAGGCGGGAATTGCCCAACATTACACTCCAGATTCTAGACCAAGATTTCAGGCAGGTGAATTTTAGAGGTGAAGAAATCATCATAAGATTGGAATTGAAGAAACTCGCAAGATGGTACTAGTGTTTGATAACTCCTATAAATCAGATAATATACCATCATCAGCAACATCATCAGCACCAGTTCTCTCGACACCGTACACCAAAGCAGTCGTGTCTTCGAAGAGCAGCAACAGAAAAACATTGACATTATCCAGTGTCCTGTTTCTGAAATCACTCAAAGACTACAATGTTGTTAGCACCCGTGTTCGACGTTTTCCGCAAACCCAGATTCGACGAAAGCATCACTAAAGTGGAATGGCGTACCTATTATCCATATGTGAAATCATTCGAGAACAATGATGTCATCGATATAACGGTTAATCAAGCAGATTCGTGGTTGGCCATGTTTGAAGGCATCATTACCATCAAGGGTAAATTGAAGGTGACCGGTGGTGGTACTGGTACATTAACCCACAATGCTGGAGCTTATCTCTTTGATTCCTGCACCTATGAATTATGTAATAAAGAATTGGACACTGTCAGATATCCTGGAATAACGAGTACTGTGCGAGGATACTTGTGTTATACACCTGAAGACTCACGTCATCTAGCCATAGCAGGCTGGAACTATCCCAATGCTCCGATCCTCAACACCGATGGTACGTTTAGCATGAACATTCCACTGAAACATTTGTTTTCCATCTTCAATGATCATCAAGTGGCAACGTGGGGCAAGCAGTCAATCCGTTTAGTGAGAGCTCGCAATGATGCCAACAGTGTGAAGGTTGTCGAGAGAGCGAATACTGCTTTGCCAGGATCTCCTCAGACTCAAAGTATTGCTAAAATAACGATAGAAAGCATTAATTTGAAAGTGCCACATCTCACACCCAACGATGACATAAAGTTGCAGCTGTTGACACGTATCAAAGCAGATGAGCCTATGATGATACCGTTTCGCCGATGGGAATTGCACGAGCTACCAGCACTCACACAAGGATCCACTATTGAAATTTGGTCTGTCAAGACATGTTCTGCATTGGACAGTCCAAGATATGTTATAGTATTTTTCCAAACGAAAAAAGCCGATAATTTGCATGAAGACGTCACCTTGTTCGATGATGCCAACATCAAATCCATACGATTGGCTCTGAATAGCGACTATTATCTGCAAGAACGAATGCTATTGGACTTTTCCAAAGACCAATATGCTGACGCCCACTTCAACTATACAGAGTTCAACAAGAGCTACCATAACTGTCAAGAAAAGCGCTCTCTAGTAAACTTTGCCGAATTCAAATCCCGACCAATGTTTGTTATCGATTGCTCGAGGCGCTATCTGGGTCTAAAGTCGTCCACAGTTGACATAAAGTTGGACATTCAAGCGACTACAGGCTTCCCTCCCGACACCAAAGCCTATTGCATCATCATTCACGATCAAATCATGGAACATCTCCCACTCAGCGAAATCGTTCGAAATATTGCCTAGTTAGGTGTTGCTGCATCAGTCAGACGTCAGTTTGCTTCGAAGAGTCATGGAGATCGCACTGGTTGACATTCAAGGGTTCATGGTTGATGGTGAATTCATTCCAAAGGAAATGACCATTCGCATTGGCAAAAAGACGAGTCATTTTCTATTCAAGCCATCTGTAGAGTTTTCCAGTTTGAACAAAGAAGATAAAAAGATGGCAAATCATGTGGAGCGTTACGTTCATGGTTTAAAATATTCTAGTGGTTATGTGGATTTGAATGAGTTGGATCAAATACTACGAGATAACCTGCAGCAGACAAACATCATCTACGTAAGAGGCCATCAAAAGATTCAGTTCTTGCAGCGAAAATGTGCAGAGTTGGAGATGACTAATCACATTGTTAATTTGGAAGATTTTGACAATTCTTGGTGGCAGCCAATAACGTTTCAACAATCCATTCCACCTTGCATGAATCATTTCCATGGAGGAAGGTTCCAGTGCAGTCTTCACAATGTCGATACTTTATATAATTGGTTATGTAATTTATTGCCAAAATAAAAAACTTTATAATAATTTCAGAGTTTTTATTCATCGCGTCCCTTATTTCTCAGTATAATGAAAATAACATGTGAGATTAAAATGAGTGAACATATTAGTGTACAACAAAGTGTCAAAATTGCAATGATATTGACAGAATCTTGATCATCATCTAATTTTGTGGGTGATTTCTTCAATGTAAATGTCTGCCAGTCTCCCATTTCGCCGTCACTGCCATCAGAAAACGATAATTTCAATTTGTAGTCGATGGTGGTCCCATTGACTCGAGGCATGTCGATTGAATATACAGGTAGATTGTTATCATTGACATAAATTCTACTCATCAGCCTCCAATCACACTGTTGTGTACGATTCACATCAAAACATACGGCTGCATTCCTCGTATTGTACGGTATGTTTGTGTAGAAGATGTTGTTGCTCAGAGCTGTCAATAGAATGAAGCTTGCTTTCAGTATCGCCATCTAGTAGCTGTGTTGGTTGGATTCTTCTCGATGTAGGAAACGTTGCAACTGAACGTCTCGGTTCTGTGAACACCTTGTCCCAAACACTCAGTTGCTCGAAATCTTTGAACAAACAAACTTTCTGCTCATACAATTGGATGTCTGCACTGAGCTTTCTAACTTTCAACCCAAATTCTTCTAGTGCACGTCTGTATTCGTCAGAAGACATGATACAACTGTTTTTTACATCCATACTTTCAACCCACATCTTATTACATCTCTTTCCCTCTCTCTCTCTCTCTCTCTCTCTCTTCCTTTCTCTCTTCTTTTTTCGTCTCTCTCTCTCTCTTTCTCATACACATCATCCAGACAAGGGTGTGGGAAAAGAATACACAGAAAAGTCTAATAATTGTAAAAGTGTATAATAGTATAAATGTAAAAAGGGATAATATAAATGAAAAAAAAAAGTTTATACAATAAAATATGAATATTAGGAATAATAAGATAATACTAAAATAATTGGGAATATACATATATACAACATAAATTATTGGATGAATAAAAGAAGTTACATTTTTTTCATGGGAAAATAAGTCATCAATACAACAGCGTTGGTTAAAAAATTTGATGCAAAAATACTAAGGAGAAAATCAATCCGTCAAACTGTAGTGACCCCACGGAAGTGTGTCAAACGAATCGTGAATCAGTTTCCGCTTATCATCTTTGGGACTCAGGCCAATTTTAGTCTGCTCGATAGAAAAAACATCGTGAGCGTAGGAACGAATCGTTTGCTGGGCTACGGTCTTTTCTTTCCAAGCCGTCAGACAATCCACATAGTCATCAAAAGTCAACTTATTTTTGACGACGCATTTCTTGACACCCTTGGATTTTAAAATATCTTGTTCGTTGGCTTTGGTGACGTCACTGGGCTTGCATCTTATTGTCGTATGTTTCGTGTTATTATAATTTTTCGTGATTTCAGGCAGGACATCTATCCAACGATATGAGCCATTCAAACTAAAGTACTTGTATAGTTTTTCCTTCAATGTCCGTATAACACGTTCAGCAATGGCTGCCTTCATTATGGTGTACGTATGATAATGGTTGATGGAGAACTTTTTCATCAGACTTTGAAACTTTTCGTTGTAGAATTCGGTACCTTGATCGGTTTGCAAATTCTTGGGAATTCTGTTGTTGGCATGCGATAGAATATCAGCAAATGCACGAGCGATTTCAGCACCAGTTTTTGATTTTAGTGGTCTAGTCCATAGGTACTTGGAAAAACAATCAATCACGACCATTATCAGCTTGTGATCCTTATTAACAGAGGCATAAGGTCGCATTTCGGCTAGATCCATTTGCCATAAGTCATCCAAACCTTTGATGATAATGCGACGCCTTGGAAATTTTTTCCTAGCAGGTCTATGTAATTCATTGACGAGTTGGATTTTTTCTTTAGAATGTGACATATTGACTTCGTTGGATCAGGAGTTTATATGATGGGTTTCACACAGGAGGCTTCCTTTTTGGTGACGGTGGTGCTGTCGTAGATTTTGGAGTGATGGCAATCTTGGCCAGATCTTTTTTCATTTGATCAATGACATTAGCAAGCTGGCGTTCTTTATCACGGCTGTGTTGTTGCTCAGCCTTCAAATCGTGCAAACTCTTCACAGTGTTGTCAATCTTATCGACAAGTTCTAGCATATTTTTCACATTCAAGTCGATGTCGCTTTCGAGTTTTGGTAGAGAGTTGTTGCGAAGCTGCTCCACATGTATGTTGATCTTGTGCACTATGCCAGACAACTGAACAAAGTTTGTATTGAACGTTGCCAGTTTCAGATCATGTACATCCACTCTCTTCCTTTCTTCGATTATTTCGTTGCTGAAGCCAGCAAGGTAATTTCGGATTTATTCACCGTAATTATCGAAAGCAATCTTGAAATCTAACTTTATTTGCGATATAACTTCATCCACATATTGTTTGTTTGCAACATCAGAGGCATCTGTTGGCAGTTTTACGTTACACATCTTCAAATGACCAACATCAATATCACCGGTTGGAGTATGTGAAAATCCAGATCTGACTGTCACCATCTGAGCTGAGCGTGGAAACGAACCACGTCCGAATTTGTCGAGGCTCATTATGCTAATGACTAAAGTATTGTACGTTATCGATAATGGTCGGCACTTTGCCTCGCCAATTAGCCCCGTCACTCATAGACATGCCATGGACGTGTCACGGAACTGTCAAGGAAGTGTCACGGAACTGTCAAGGAAGTGTCACGGAACTGTCACGGAAGTGTCAAGGAAGTGTCACGGAACTGTCACGGAAGTGTCAAGGAAGTGTCACGGAACTGTCACGGAAGTGTCAAGGAAGTGTCACGGAAGTATCACGGAACACGGAAATGTCACTGAATCGTCACACATGTTTTATTATGCCTGCCTCTTCTAATTCGTTCAAGATGGCAACAATCTCGTTATCGTTTGATGTATTTCCGGCTTGCTGTGATGCAATGAGCAATTTCAATCTATCTACCAATTCGTTTGGATCATCCCAATACATGTATTCGATAGGTGCTGTGTTGTATGTCAACTTCAAACCACGACCACTGGAATTGGATCTGAACATTGGACGAATAATTTCTACGTATTTGAGTCTAGAGGAGGACTTCATACGTCCTGCAGAATTCAGATGAGCTTTGGTGAGCAAGAGTATTTGCTTGTATGGGTTCGTATCATCTTTGGCAAAGGATGGATCATTATAGAAGAGTAATTGATAGAGGCCTGGGGTGCCACGGAACCGAAAGCCATCGAGAAGTATATCTCCAGTTCTTCGATGGAAATTCATTTCTTTTCCGTTGAGGGACCATTTCGATGTTACTGGATCATATTTGGGACCATAAACCGTATCGATATTTTCATCATTTGTCCAGTATTCAGTCAGATATTTTTGAGCCATCGCAGGATACTGATCAACGTAATCATGTATTGCAGCCGGTGAGATATTTTCACTATCTACAAAAAGTTCATCATCAGCATCGTCATAACCATCCTCATCATCATCTTCAGTATGCCCAGCATTATCAGCCACATCCATCATAGGTATGAAATTAGTTTGATTCAAATCCGATTGCTCCCTCTCAACGTCCCCATCCTCTTCCTCCTTCTTCTTCTCCTTCTTCTTCTCCTTCTTCAACTCCAACGACTTTGCTCTGCTTCGCTTGATGTTTGAAAGTGTTCCATCGAGTTTTTCTTCTATGACCTTGGACGCGGAGGCAATTTGTTTCAAAGGTGATGTCAGTGGTTGGAATATTTTCTGTAACGCATCATCATCCTCAGACTTGCCCAATTTTAGTGCTAAATATTTTCTTCTGATTGATTTCGATAGTTCGTTGATTTTTTTCTTGCGCAGCGCATCAGCAACATCATCATGCATCTTGGTTGACGTCATCTTGATGAATGGTCCAGAGATCACAGTCTTATGAACTTATCGAAACCATTTCTATATCTGCCAGCATTCATATCGAAAGTTTTTGCAATCACCATCGCACCATATTGGTTGGAATTCCAACACTCTGAGCACAATGCTTTAAATTGATCGAATGACATGTCTGGTGAGACATGCTCGTCGAACACATGCTTCAAATTCATTTCATCCTGTCGAAATAACACCAACAGGTTACTGTTGTCTCGCACCAGCTGCTTCGGTATCTTAGAAAAAGTCTGGCATAGGTATGCTACGTCAATATCCTTGTGTCTACACATTGAAAAATATTCTCGAATTTTTTGCTGCTTGTCGCATGATACATCATCAAAAATGAATATCGAATTATTTTTCGCTTCTGATGGACTGATGACATCATCATTTTCTTTAAAGGGAAAATACCCAACACCTTTCACTGAATCCAACACTTGTTGCAGCAATTGATATTTCGGTTGGTACAACGACTTTGAATACACGTAAACGTTCTTGAATTTCGCGCCATTTGGATTGAACAGCAGGGAAAGCATCGCATTGGTCTTTCCACATCCGCTTGGTCCGCAGAAGATTGCTCTGAACGAATGGGGAAGCAGTTTCCCATGTTTACTATTTACTGGGGGTTTGGTTGACAAAATTTCATCCAAATTCACAATGGGTAACATCCGTTCTTGTTGAATGATCTTCATCATGTGATGATATATTTTTCATTTCATTAGGTATATGCAGAGTTGTCGAACTTCCTACACATCAGTCTTCATGTTGCTCTACCACGGAGAGGGTGTGCTTAATTCTCTGATCGATAAACTTCCCATCGAATTACACATTCCAGGCTACAGATTTTGTGGTCCAGGTACCAAACTCGATAAAAGACTTGCAAGAGGAGACACCGGTATCAATCCGTTGGACGACGCGTGTCGAGTACACGATATCGCCTATTCACAAAATTCCTCAATAGAAGACAGGCACAAAGCTGATTGGATATTGGAAAATAGAGCGTGGGAGAGAGTCAAGTCGAAGAACGCTAAATTCAAAGAGAAGGCTGCTGCTTGGCTTGTCACCACCGGAATGAAGGTCAAACGAAAACTTGGCATGGGTCTTGTATCACAGCAATCCCTATCCAACATTATCAAATTCATAAAAAATGTACTATCAAAGTCAGATGGTGGTGGTAGTACAACATCAGGAAGTGGTCTGAATAAATCTGCATTGAAAGCACTCCATGCAGCCAGAATGGCAATCAAGAGGGCTGGCGGTAAAAAAAGAATCAGAGTACCAAGAATCATACCTCTTCCACACAGTGGCGGCATACTACCATTGATACCAATCTTTGCCGCCTTGGGAGCCCTAGGATCTCTAGCTGGAGGAGCCGGAGCAGTCGCAAAGACAGTCATTGATGCGAAAAATGCAAAGAAAAAGCTCGAAGAAGATCAAAGGCATAATAAAGCAATGGAGGCTATCGGCAAGCAGGGTTCCGGCCTATTTCTACGCAAAACATCGAGAGGATTCGGACTGTACTTGAAGAAACAATCAAAAAACTCAAAAAACTTCTAGACAAGCTACCCAATAAATCAATGTACGATAAAGATGTGATAAAGTATGCCAAACAGCTGAAAATACCGTATTTTCGAGGTGTTTTTATGCGGGACACTCTACCTTCCACCGGTCCATGGCATCGCGAGTGTGCTGTATTGAATTTGGATACCTCCAATCATGCGGGCACTCATTGGGTGGCTTACATAAAAAATGATAAAAAAGCCTTATATTTCGATAGTTATGGCAATCTGAAACCGCCCAGAGAATTGGCGCAATATTTGGGTGCCAGCACGAAAATCTTGTACAATAACAATCAATACCAGAATTTCAATCAAAGTAATTGTGGACGTCTATGTTTAGAATTCCTTTTTAATGAGATCAAGTAACTCGGTCATTGTGCATCAGTCATGTCTCTGATTGTGACGTTGAAAGGTCGTACATCTACGCTCTCCATAGACTTTTTGACACCACTTCAACTCGATCCAGACTCTGATTACGGACTAGCATTGTTGGGATTCCATTCATACAACAGTATACCAAATATCGACAAAGAATCAAAGTTTTATCTGCAAGATAAGACCAAGGCGGGAAAGATCATCGATATTCCCGAAGGTTCATACGACATTGTGGACATTGAGACATTCATACGCAAAGAATTGGGCATCTCAAGTGCAAAGGACGTTGATGATATATTCTCGTTGAAGCCCAACAATAATACACTAAAGTGTGAGATTTCGAGCAAACAGTTTGCCATTGATTTTCGCCCGAAGGATAGCATAGCTCAAGTCTTGGGATTTTCAAATAGATTGTTGAACGCACAAGAAGTCCACACTTCCGATTTGCCGGTCAGCATAACCAAAGTGAGAACCATTCACATTGATAGCAACGTTACTGCTGGAGCTCTCTACAACGACAGACCATCACATACGATCTACGAGTTTGCAGTTGCAGTCGATCCTGGTTACGCCATAGACGAGACTCCCAGAAATCTAATCTATCTACCTATAGTCAGCAGGCGGGAATTGCCCAACATTACACTCCAGATTCTAGACCAAGATTTCAGGCAGGTGAATTTTAGAGGTGAAGAAATCATCATAAGATTGGAATTGAAGAAACTCGCAAGATGGTACTAGTGTTTGATAACTCCTATAAATCAGATAATATACCATCATCAGCAACATCATCAGCACCAGTTCTCTCGACACCGTACACCAAAGCAGTCGTGTCTTCGAAGAGCAGCAACAGAAAAACATTGACATTATCCAGTGTCCTGTTTCTGAAATCACTCAAAGACTACAATGTTGTTAGCACCCGTGTTCGACGTTTTCCGCAAACCCAGATTCGACGAAAGCATCACTAAAGTGGAATGGCGTACCTATTATCCATATGTGAAATCATTCGAGAACAATGATGTCATCGATATAACGGTTAATCAAGCAGATTCGTGGTTGGCCATGTTTGAAGGCATCATTACCATCAAGGGTAAATTGAAGGTGACCGGTGGTGGTACTGGTACATTAACCCACAATGCTGGAGCTTATCTCTTTGATTCCTGCACCTATGAATTATGTAATAAAGAATTGGACACTGTCAGATATCCTGGAATAACGAGTACTGTGCGAGGATACTTGTGTTATACACCTGAAGACTCACGTCATCTAGCCATAGCAGGCTGGAACTATCCCAATGCTCCGATCCTCAACACCGATGGTACGTTTAGCATGAACATTCCACTGAAACATTTGTTTTCCATCTTCAATGATCATCAAGTGGCAACGTGGGGCAAGCAGTCAATCCGTTTAGTGAGAGCTCGCAATGATGCCAACAGTGTGAAGGTTGTCGAGAGAGCGAATACTGCTTTGCCAGGATCTCCTCAGACTCAAAGTATTGCTAAAATAACGATAGAAAGCATTAATTTGAAAGTGCCACATCTCACACCCAACGATGACATAAAGTTGCAGCTGTTGACACGTATCAAAGCAGATGAGCCTATGATGATACCGTTTCGCCGATGGGAATTGCACGAGCTACCAGCACTCACACAAGGATCCACTATTGAAATTTGGTCTGTCAAGACATGTTCTGCATTGGACAGTCCAAGATATGTTATAGTATTTTTCCAAACGAAAAAAGCCGATAATTTGCATGAAGACGTCACCTTGTTCGATGATGCCAACATCAAATCCATACGATTGGCTCTGAATAGCGACTATTATCTGCAAGAACGAATGCTATTGGACTTTTCCAAAGACCAATATGCTGACGCCCACTTCAACTATACAGAGTTCAACAAGAGCTACCATAACTGTCAAGAAAAGCGCTCTCTAGTAAACTTTGCCGAATTCAAATCCCGACCAATGTTTGTTATCGATTGCTCGAGGCGCTATCTGGGTCTAAAGTCGTCCACAGTTGACATAAAGTTGGACATTCAAGCGACTACAGGCTTCCCTCCCGACACCAAAGCCTATTGCATCATCATTCACGATCAAATCATGGAACATCTCCCACTCAGCGAAATCGTTCGAAATATTGCCTAGTTAGGTGTTGCTGCATCAGTCAGACGTCAGTTTGCTTCGAAGAGTCATGGAGATCGCACTGGTTGACATTCAAGGGTTCATGGTTGATGGTGAATTCATTCCAAAGGAAATGACCATTCGCATTGGCAAAAAGACGAGTCATTTTCTATTCAAGCCATCTGTAGAGTTTTCCAGTTTGAACAAAGAAGATAAAAAGATGGCAAATCATGTGGAGCGTTACGTTCATGGTTTAAAATATTCTAGTGGTTATGTGGATTTGAATGAGTTGGATCAAATACTACGAGATAACCTGCAGCAGACAAACATCATCTACGTAAGAGGCCATCAAAAGATTCAGTTCTTGCAGCGAAAATGTGCAGAGTTGGAGATGACTAATCACATTGTTAATTTGGAAGATTTTGACAATTCTTGGTGGCAGCCAATAACGTTTCAACAATCCATTCCACCTTGCATGAATCATTTCCATGGAGGAAGGTTCCAGTGCAGTCTTCACAATGTCGATACTTTATATAATTGGTTATGTAATTTATTGCCAAAATAAAAAACTTTATAATAATTTCAGAGTTTTTATTCATCGCGTCCCTTATTTCTCAGTATAATGAAAATAACATGTGAGATTAAAATGAGTGAACATATTAGTGTACAACAAAGTGTCAAAATTGCAATGATATTGACAGAATCTTGATCATCATCTAATTTTGTGGGTGATTTCTTCAATGTAAATGTCTGCCAGTCTCCCATTTCGCCGTCACTGCCATCAGAAAACGATAATTTCAATTTGTAGTCGATGGTGGTCCCATTGACTCGAGGCATGTCGATTGAATATACAGGTAGATTGTTATCATTGACATAAATTCTACTCATCAGCCTCCAATCACACTGTTGTGTACGATTCACATCAAAACATACGGCTGCATTCCTCGTATTGTACGGTATGTTTGTGTAGAAGATGTTGTTGCTCAGAGCTGTCAATAGAATGAAGCTTGCTTTCAGTATCGCCATCTAGTAGCTGTGTTGGTTGGATTCTTCTCGATGTAGAAAACGTTGCAACTGAACGTCTCGGTTCTGTGAACACCTTGTCCCAAACACTCAGTTGCTCGAAATCTTTGAACAAACAAACTTTCTGCTCATACAATTGGATGTCTGCACTGAGCTTTCTAACTTTCAACCCAAATTCTTCTAGTGCACGTCTGTATTCGTCAGAAGACATGATACAACTGTTTTTTACATCCATACTTTCAACCCACATCTTATTACATCTCTTTCCCTCTCTCTCTCTCTCTCTCTCTCTCTTCCTTTCTCTCTTCTTTTTTCGTCTCTCTCTCTCTCTTTCTCATACACATCATCCAGACAAGGGTGTGGGAAAAGAATACACAGAAAAGTCTAATAATTGTAAAAGTGTATAATAGTATAAATGTAAAAAGGGATAATATAAATGAAAAAAAAAAGTTTATACAATAAAATATGAATATTAGGAATAATAAGATAATACTAAAATAATTGGAAATATACATATATACAACATAAATTATTGGATGAATAAAAGAAGTTACATTTTTTTCATGGGAAAATAAGTCATCAATACAACAGCGTTGGTTAAAAAATTTGATGCAAAAATACTAAGGAGAAAATCAATCCGTCAAACTGTAGTGACCCCACGGAAGTGTGTCAAACGAATCGTGAATCAGTTTCCGCTTATCATCTTTGGGACTCAGGCCAATTTTAGTCTGCTCGATAGAAAAAACATCGTGAGCGTAGGAACGAATCGTTTGCTGGGCTACGGTCTTTTCTTTCCAAGCCGTCAGACAATCCACATAGTCATCAAAAGTCAACTTATTTTTGACGACGCATTTCTTGACACCCTTGGATTTTTTAGTTATACCAAAATTTTCCAATTCCCTATCTAGTCGTTCTTTACTGAATCCCTTTCTTCCCAATCGCTTTCTCTCTTTTTCAATATCCTCATCCGCTATATCCAATTTATAACTGTACATCTTGGACCGTAGTCCAGCAAAATGCGTAATAATCTTACCGTTTGCCTCATCCTTCAATAGGCCCAAGACTTTTTTATTTACTCGAGGTATACCATAAATATTGTCTGGAGCATAGTCAGACGTGTCAAATCTCTCGATATTTGCATCAATCACCTCACTATACGCATCGTCACATACAATTTCGTAGATGAAGCTGTCCGTATCGGTATACATGAGTTTTACGTCAGCTCCAAGCTTTGGTAACATGAAGTTGTAGTGGAAATCATACATGACGATTTTCGATAAATCAAGAATAGCCATACCAATGTATAGGGGCTTGTTGAAAATCAGCTCTGCTTTTTTCAACACCACTGCCACCAAATTGGCATCGAAAACTGTCCGCTGTTGAAACCGAGGACTTGAAATTAAATTTTTAATGCCATAGCGGCCTTCATACATTCTGACTAACTTAACTGTTCTATGATTACGAATATTCTCCATCGTCTTCCCAAACACCGCATTATTGGCCAATTTCCTTAAATCTTTTTCAAAATCGTTTGTGGCTAGAGTCCTCAATCGGGTATTCAACTCGATGTAGGGCTTTAGCCACGTGGATTGTTTGAACTTTAATACTTTATGAATCTTGGTCAATTTCAGACCGTGTTCTAATGCCTGCTTCAAATTTCTGTAATGTAAAGTATATGACTTTTTATCGTACAGCGTGGTCATTAATTTGGATAATTTTGAATTTGGTGGTGTGCGATGTTCGGGACAAAATGGTAGGTCCTTGTGTAGGTCATGCAACCCCTCAGGATACTCCAAATCAACTTGGAGAATATAGCCTTCTGGACTGTTGTCAGGAATTTGGGTTACATCAATGTCAACATTTTCTACCCATGTAAAGCCCCCATAAGGGAGGGGTTCACTCATTGCTTTTCCATAAAGGTTATTTACATCGAGATAAAGAAGGTACTTTGACGGCTTTTTTGGATCGTAATTTTTCTGATATTTATTGTTTGCTTCGCAATACCTATTGCAACAAACCGATACTCCTCCTCTTATCGCCTGCTCCACAAACATCACCATGTCGATATCTTTGATGATTTGCAGCTTGCACCCAGTATACTTGAGCATGCAGTCCCAAGTATAGCCGGGCATGGTGTAATACCAAGCAGGATCGAGGCCATAGGTCTTGAGGGATGACGCACGGAAATTTTCCATGACGTCAGCAAGAAGAAGAATATCGGTCCGCATATATAGGTCGCTATATTCTCCCAGCGATTTCAGCTCGAAAGATTCCCAAACTTTTCGCGCGTGCGCATAATCGTCGTCCGAAATATTTGTATCGTTCAATTTGTTATAGAAATTTTGAATGCTTGGCAACTCGGATTCATCCAATCTTTCCACATTATCGACATAGTCATATGGGAATACTCCTTTTCGTGTCAACAATGCAAATTTTGTCTCATTTACGTCACTGAATTCCTTCTTTAGAATTTTCAAATCATTAACTTTTAGCGTTGACACTTAAGCATCGAGACTGGTTCCCAAAAAGCGGAAAGAGTCGATGAATCGGAATTTTATGCTTGTTTCATCATCATGTTGTGTAAAGGAAATGTATTTTTCGCGATTAACCGGGAGTACGCTCACACGTCCCCGCTTGGAAATGTCTCTGATTATAAAATGCGAATCATATCCTGAGAGGTTGTGGAACGTGATGGGAACAACGAACAGTTTCCTAAAGTTGAGATTACAGGGAGCCTGGTGTGCGAAGCCTCTGAATGCGCCAGTAAAATGGTCGTGGTCACGTACGATAACGTCTTTTGCCTTGAATTTCTCTTCGCAAATGTGGCAGATGGTTGCGCCACTGGTACTAGCTGGTTTGACTACCATTGGAACGATATTTTTCAATTTGGATTCGACAAATTTGGCAATTTTAGACATTTCGCAGGCAAACCAGTCCATGCAATCTCCACCCCTATGACTACGATAAAATGACAGCGAGTCATCGAAAGAACATTTAAAATAGTACCCAGCACTGTATGCTTTATGATGTTGATACTTTGAAGTGGTTTTTGAAATTTTAGAATCACATTTCTCTAATTGTGATTCGAAATCAGCATAAATGATGAAAGGGCATGTCTGCTTATACACATGGTTCTTAAATTCTACAAAATCATACTTTGGGAATGAAATTTTCTCATTATTAATTTTTTCACATTGAGCGGCATGACTATCAAGCTTCTCCTGGCAATGGTAATAGTTGAGGCACCGATCGGAGATGAATTTCTTAACCTTATATTTGTTGAGTTGACTTGATACTAGTCGTGAAAGGTCCTTGATCCAGACATAGTGATATTTTATACTGACGTTCTCTTCAGCATTATCGTTGTCAGGAGGAGCTTCATAGTCATTCAAATTTGGGAAATATTTGTCCTGAATCAAAAGCAAATCAACGTGTCGATTGGATTTATGCTTAGTAAGTCTGGTGGGTACTACAGAGTAAAATGTTCGTTCGTTGACTTCTGTCAACTCTAGCGCATAAACATTCACCGAAAGAGCATTCATTTTTTCAAATTTTGTTATTTGGGGCAGCTTCATTGGTATGTCTAATCCTCTTATGTTCAAAATCTGTGAATAGTGCGGATAATTCTTAAATCTATTTGAATTTTTTTCAATGGGATGCAAACAACTGACTATGCTCCAAAAGAAGCATGCCTCATCATCATTTTGAACGTTTATGCAAGCCTGCTTTTTTTCAATCTGCACTGGCAATTTGATGTATGATGAGCCATTGCCCATTTCATATTTATTTATGGCAACCTCCAGAGAAATAATTTCGCTCAAGGCCCACCCGCTATTCTTCTCGGCAAATTCGCTA